CAGGAGGTCAAGAACTTCAATATTTTGAACACATTGTGCTTTCTCATTTTATAACTACAGTCCCATGGTACAATACAAAAATACTGTTTTTACAAAAGCCTTCAGATTATAGTATTTGAAATGTTGCATTAATATTCAGTTACGATTTAATAGCCAGAACAAATGTATTAACTCATGAACCGTGAGGTCACAGGTTCTCCTAGAAAACACTCACATAAACTACAACTCTTTCATAGATATTTGTAGCAAAAAATAAAATAATTTCATGTTGATATTTCAAGAACGGACAAATTGGCAAAATAAATATTCCCAAATTATCTGCTAACCTCTGATGATTGTGCCAATTATCTTTTGCAGAAGTAATTAAAATAATTTGCAATGATGGAGAAAGAATATGAAATTAATTTCTATTGCATGGTCATTGAACAGTGGTAAAGTGGTTGCCCTAGAAAAGGGTATTCTAAACATAGCAAAAATGAGAATTTTTTATCGTATGGAGCAATTTAGAATTTCTGGTATTTTGAAATGATCGATTAATGTTACATTTAGCATTTTTACACTTGCTTAGACTTGACAAGCAATTTGTGGTAAGCTGGCATATCATTTGCTTTTGGCAGATGTCAATTGCTTTCATCATTATTTCAAAACAGAAATGATAATAATTAAAAGGAAAAAAAATAGGAAAATTACCTCATTTCCAGTCCAAATACAAATATATTCTTATTAACTTTATGACTATTGGCTGCTCTTGTCCTATGTTTATATTATTTAATCAGAAAGTTTGTCTTGTTGTATTGGTAACTTCTAGAGGTAAAAAGTAGAACATATACAATATTTTATTTTATGTTTCTGAATAAAGGATGATCTATTTTAATGTACATTTCCCTGATTTCCTAAACATCTGATGGAAAATAAACATTCCCACTGATCTGGTAAGCCAGGCCACTACAGTCACAGTGCCAAGTTGAACCAACTCAGTAAAGAATTCAGTAATAACTGTTGGGATTTGTCATATCACCGTGGGCAGACAAATTTGACTCTTCCCATGAATGGGGATAGGAGCCAAGGTATGAACCACTCTGAATTAGAAGGCATTTAATTAAAGTTAGCACAGTGCTGAACTCAAATTAGCAAGGTTTACTAAGAGGCAGCATATATTAACTAGGGCTCAGCGTGGTGATAGAGTGCTCTGCTGCCAGCCATGCTTGCACAGGCAGTAATCTCCTAAAGCACAATGCCATCCAGAGGAGCAAGCCAGCCAAAGAACAGGCAAGGCTGAAAGAGTTAAAAAGAAATTCTACTATCTGTTTGCTGACATATCACCCTTATGAAAAAAAAAAAAAAAAAAAAAATAAAACCAAAGAAACCCCCCCAGAAATACAGGCAGTGGTTACATACAGTATTTAATATTCCATTATGGCTCCAGGTACAGCTCTTCCAAGTTCATACTTTCAAAGCAGAGCAAAGAGAATGGGTTATGGAAAACTGAAAAAAGCCATCCTTTCTTTGCCCAGATGAAGTACGAAAAAATTGTGGTCTTATGCTGCTTTGAGATGCATGTCTGGGTATTGCCATTAAAATACCATGTATGGCTGAAATACTTAGCATGTAGACAGTTTTAATTATCTGTTAAGTGCTGTGTAAACATCACAAACAGCCATGATATTCCCAATTTACAAAGCTGCAAATCAAAGCAACAAAAGTTATTGCCACTCTAATGCAACAGGGAACTATTTAGCTCTTCGTTGTTCTTCTTGATCCTTCTCTTGGTTTTATTTCCTTTCATCTTCTTTGCAATTTTGTTAGGGAACAACTGTATTTAGATGACACCTCTAAGGTCCTTTACATTTAATTCAAATAAGCAATCCAAATTTGAAGATTTATCCAAAATTTATAACTGGTGTTTTTCTAAGGGTCCATACTATTTCTCAAATCTAAGTAGCTTTAAATATTGGGACTTTTCTAGCTGGATACTCAGGTTTTGACATACAAGAGGTTCTCCTTAGGTGAAATGGAAGACAATAGGAAATACAATATGAATAAGATTACATCTGTGAAGATAGTCCCAGAAAAGAGATTTGTGAATTTAAAAGGGTTCAATTATGATTTCTAATAAGGACTAAGGTGAATCAACCTAATAAACACATTTTTATTTAGAACAGTCTTGTAGCTGTGCTTTTTTAAAAAGTAAAGTCAAAATTGTCCTTAGAATATGTATGTCAAAAAAATAAAACCTTAGCTTTCTCTATAAATCAGATAGTAATTTTTTTACTATGACCCCTTTCTGTGAGTAAAGATGAATAAATATAGGAGTCTTCTGTAACATCAGAAAGGAACTGATCAGCAGTCCCAGTAAATGTTTTTCATAAATAATTTTTATTGAAAAAAGGAATAAGTGGTTCAAAATAAAACTCAGGTAACTACTACTGTACCTGTGGAATAATGAAGGGAAAGTTTGACAGTTCAGGGTTTGAAGTACCACATCAATGTTTCCTTTGCAAGGAGGATGGACAGGCTTACGGAATGGAGTTCTGCATGTTATCAGTAAGAATGTTTTTACTGACTTCAAATCATGTAATATAAACTCCCGGGGGAGAGTCTGGAGAATTTTCTAGGCTCAAAATACTACATCTTTAACAATATAAAGCTTCACGTGGATGCATTATTTGAGAAGTAATGCATGACCGCCCTGTTAAAGGCTGCCATAGTCTTTAAAAGACCACAGTTATGATTGCATGATGCACCTCAGCTTCTGGAATGTTTTATTTCTGAATGAATAATAGAGAAGCCATAGCATTCTAAAACATATGGTTCTGCACTTAATGGTCAAATAAATTGTATATATAGGGAGCATATGTAGATGGGTACCTTTCTATATATATAGACACACACACATAAAAATTTTATGTGTAACACAGTCTTGTACAGTAATAAAATGAATAGGTCAGGCTAGGGAAGTACTTCTAAAGTGTTTAGCAGGAATTAATATTCAATCTTCAAGTTTTCTTTAATGTTTTGTCACTCAAATTTCTGGAGCAAAAGGGAAAATATGCATCAAACTTGGGTCTTTAAATATATACCTCCTCATAAAGAATTTAAGCTGTGGAATCAAATGCCTACTATTTGAACTTCCAAGGAAAAGAAAAGCAAGGATTTCAAACATAACTAGTTGCATCAAAGGAGAGTTTACAAAAATTTTTATAATAATGACACAAAGGATGCAATTTTCCTGTTTCAAATACAACAGAAAGTTATTAAGATAGCAAGAAATTCAAAATTTAGAGTATAACTGAGTATCCAAGACATGGAAAATTCTAGCTGATGAAGGCCAAGGTTTTGTGAGATGTAAATTCCCCTGAATTTCACCATCCACTACTGCAAACATATTTTCTGTGACCAGTGATGCACATAAAAAAAAGGTTACTAATTATCAGTAGTAATAATTACACATTTAACAAGTTACCATTATACTTCAAAAAGTTTTCACTAATGTGTGAATAATTATTGGCCTAATTAAGTGTCTGATATTGCATTTACAAACAAAAATGAAACATTAGTTAGGAGTGTGACATTATTTTTGCAATAGATAAAAGGAAGAGGTAATTTGGATAACTAATTTCTGGACTGAATTTGTTGCATGGAGCTCCAAAAAAAGGAGGTAATTTTTATCCTTCCAAACATTTAGAGGCATATTTTTCCCTTACAGCTCTCCCTTTCCAGTGCAGTATTCAACTGTACATCCTTTTTTTCCCCTGTAAAGATGAAATCAAGAAGAAACATCAGCAACTCTAGAAGTCCTGAGGGCTTTCAGGGTAGCTGTCTTTTGGGAGATAGAAGGGGTCTTGTCCAATGCCCCTGCACAGAGAATATATCTGCTTTTACTGGCAGAGTTCAGAGTGCCTTGTGGTGCCTCAGGCTGCAGAAGTTGACAAAATCATGCAGTAGACATGAATGCCTCTCAGTGATACACAAGTGATACACAAGTGAAAACATTTAGCAAAAATCAGCTTAGGATGCAGCACATCCCAAAGAATGTCTATTGTTACAGTGCCTTTCACCTGGTTGCTGTTTCTGTATTAATTTTCCTCCTACCATTTCACAGGAAAAATAGAGCCAGGTGCCGTGGTAATAGCAATTTATCCATGTATCCATTTATGGTCATTTGAGCCTCAACAATGACGGACAGTAAATTGTGGGAAGGAAAATGAAGCCTCCCTACTCATCTGCAAATGCCTTGATTCCACAGTTTCCATTTTTATTAATATTTGAGTGAATTTCCTTGGTCAAGATTACTACATTTTATCAAGCACAGCCCTAAGTCATTTTTTCTTTAACGTCCCCCAATTACTGGCCAGTGACAGAAAATTACAGCAGCCCAAAGGACAGACTATTTCTGTGATATTCTCCCATTCTTCCTTTCCAATTCATGACAGAATTCCCTGCACACTAGACAGGCTGCATAGCTGGTTCTCCTACAGAGCCATGAAGCCTTTGGAAAATACACCATCACTTTTGCAGGATGCCTAAAACTTCAGGAAAACTTATTTGAACAGAAATGCAAAATAGTGTGTAAACACAGTCCTGAGGCTGCCAGACCTCAGCTAACTCTCATAGCTTTGAATCAGATTGCATCTCATAATTTCTCCTGTGCAAGACCTTGAGACAAACAACAGGATTTGCAACATTCCAGCATGAAACTACTGTAAGTGTGCCACAGCTGTTTAACTCCTTGTACTCTGGTCAGAAAACCCTTTATCTATGCCACAGCCCTGAACCCCTGCATTTCATATTGTTTTATTGCTTCAGTACGTGCATGTTCAAAAGTCTGCTTTAAAGCCTCTTCAAAATGCAGACTGGAAGCTTTATATTGTTTTCAGTAGGAGTTTGTAGGACCAGTACTGAGAACACAGCAGGCTTAGGTACCTGTATTGCACAAATCCCTGAATGCACACATCCCTCTTGAACCCTTGAACCAATGTCTGGTGGGAATTGTTTCTCACCTGTTTCTCAAATGAAAGGGCAATGGAAATACTGAGCCATACTCTTCAGTGCACTCAGGGCAACTCTGCTGTGTGCTGGATAAGTAAAAAAGACAACATTAACAGCTGAAATGGAACCTTGCCATACTTGTATATGCAAATTATATCCATTAAAAAAAGTAGAAATTTTAAAAAAACTTCCTCTTTCTACACCCTCCCTCCATCACTTTTGCTGTAGCTTCGCAGGAATGCCTAATACTTCAGGATAACTTATTTGAGCAGAAATGCAAAGTATTGTGTAAACACAGTCCTGATTATTTAGTACCTGTCATGGGCCCCAAAGATGACCCTGAAATGTCTCCCTTAAGCCCACATGTGGGGCTGGTTGGTGGTAGCAGCCTGGAGGGCTGCCTGGAGACAGTCTCCAGAAACAAGACTGTCCAAAATATAGGACCAAGAAGTTGAGGGGAAATGACAGGTACTTCTCCTGATAGAAGGGGCTTCAAAAACTTTTTCCAATCCCTGAGAGAAAACTAAGGTCAGGTAGGGCAAAGACTGCATCCCCTGTATAATTTTTCACCTGAATACTGCCCTTCCCTTGTTTAGGAATGTGTTAGAGAGCTGTGGAATGAACAAATGAATGATCTCTTTTTGGGAAATGCTCTAAATACATCCCTTCAGGTATCAGTGGGCTTTGCATCAGCCCATATTTGCTTTCATTCTGATTGGTTTAGATGCACCTTTTCTGTTCATATCAGTGCAACTTGACCAGAGCCTTCAAGATAAGCAAAAACTTAAAAGCTTTACATAGGGATAGGCTTTATTAAAAGACACAGTTTAAGTGTAGATTTTTAAATGCTTTTCTCAATAATGAAATAAGCAATGTTGGAGGCATGTTACCCAATCCAACATATTTTCTTGTGCCTACATTTTAAACATATATTCCTCCACCTTTTGAACTCATCATGTCAAACCTCCATAGTTTTAAGCTGGGCTAGAGGTAGTGATAGAAATGTGTTAATTGCAGTTATACTTTCTATAGCATCAAAAACATAACATCAGAATTTATTTTTTTTCAAATAAATGCTTCAGATCAGTATGCCTTAAAATATTCATCTGTAGCAGTGATTCCTGGTTAAGGAACTTTTCATCTGCCTTTCAAAGTTAAATAAATTACTGGAGGAAACATTCTCTGAATTGCAGAATGAGTCAGCAATACCTTCAGTGTTTTTGGGGCCTATTTTACAGAGGTTGCTTTTGCTTAAGCCATTAGCAACTATTAAATTTATTCTCTTCATTTCATGTTGTATACAGCTGATGGGAACTGGGGGGAAAAGGCAGCTTTCAAGGCATTAACCCCTTCACTCCACAGGATGATTTTTCTGCTTGAAAGGAATTTGATGATTTCAGCTTTCTTCTCCTTCTTAACTTTGCCTCCATTAGGATTGCCTGCATGAATAAGGGGTTGCAGAAACTGGCCCTTATATTGTAATGCAATCACAGATTTATTCAGCTCTGCAATCAGCCATTCGTCTGTGATGATCATCTCAGGGTCCTGCCAAGAGTTTCTGGAAGGCTCTGTGCTAGCTCTCTACTGATCACATAAACCACCAAAAAAAAAATTACCTATATATTACTTTCCACTAATTCAGATCTGCGTTCTGAGGGAAGAGAGAAAGAACCATTAGGAACCATAAAAAACGTTGCTTCTGAACACTAATAAAATAACCATGCATACCATGCCAAACAAAAACAAACACACTGAAAAACTGCAGATACAAATAAAATCTTCAGTCACGTTAAAAAAAAAAAAAAAAAAAAGAAAAAAACCTCAACAAGAAACAGAAAATGAGGGAGTGAAAAAGTCTGAAAAAGCAAGATTTAAAGAAGGGAAATGGTATGTGGTTTGAAATGTGCATTTGGAAAGAAAAAGGATATCCAAAGATCAGCAGCTCTGAGAACAGCCCATTTACCAATGTCTAAATAGCTAATAACTGAATGTAAATGTGTCTCCTCAATTTAATAAAAAATGTACTATTGTATTATTTACTACAGTATAAACTTTAAAACATTAACATGAAGAAGACAAACAGAAAACTGAATGTTTACTATGTCAAAGACTTACATTGCTTTCCAAAGTTTGAGTCAAATATTACTACTAATAATACTGACAGGAATATTTCCCCTGATGTGAGTGAAATTATTCTGAGCCAGAGTATACAGAAAAGTCGAGTTTGGCCATTTGTTTCTTGCTTTGTGATATCCATTTCCATTGACTCCCTTGTGGTTTGCACACGTGGAAAGAGCCATGGACTCTGGCATTACCTAATGGCCTCAGTTCTTTGTATGAGATGACACAAAATCTTTCTATTTCTAGTGTGTCTACCCCCCTGGAAGTGCCACTGCTGTTTTCTTGTTCAATGGCTTTTATCTGGCACTTTCAACAAATATTGTCCTTGCTCTCTACACTTTAAAATGATAAATGCATCACCTGGAGGCTGTATCCACCAGTTCCTGTGTAATACTTCTCTCCTAAAATGTGACATAACATTTTAGAAATGGAAAATTAACATCCCACAAGGAATTCTCAAAAGGGAAGGACACATGCAAGTGCAACCATGCAGTGAACTAATCTTTAACCACAAAATGCCAATGTACTCTTGAAAATACCGATAAATGCTGCAATGAGGCACCAGTTAAGCAACTGCATATAAATCACACAAAGCCACTAGTGGCAGACACTCCTTGTATCTGCTCAGTTGTTAATAGTCTTTCTCAAAACTGGAGTGGTTTTCCATGGTGCTAATGAGAACTTTTGCTAGCACACCTTCCATGCACTTGAAATCCAGCATCAGGGGAAGTTCCAAAAGCTGCACCCACACTGCTAAAGGTACCCCTCAGACAGCCAAGTAATGCAATGTCTGCTACAGCAGTTTTCTGCAGGTCTGAAATGCGGGACAGGCACACTCTGAGAGCACCTCACCCTCCCCAGTCCTGACTTTGACATGAGAGGATCCTTTTCCTCTGCAGTGCTGGTTTTCTACCAGTTTGTGTACCCAGAAGAAATTTTTTACCATGGTAGGGCACTGGCATGGGTCATCTGGAAGAAGCTGTGGATCCAGAGCCTCATCTCTGGAAGTGTTCAAGGCCAGACTGGACAGGGCTTGGAGCAATCTGGTCTAGTGGGACACCCATGGCGGGGGGGTTTGAAACCAGATGATCCCTTCCAACCCAAACCATTCTAAAATTGTAAGTTTTTACCCTGAAAGGTAGGATGCGGTTGAGGGATGGTGCAGTGCTAAACACTGTCCTGCAAAACACTCCCCAGGTAGTTAGAATATAAACCCCTCCTCCCTCAGATTCCCCTGGCTGCAGCACAGGTGATGAAGTGTGGCTGCAACACTAGGAAGTGATAAGTGATGTTCCCACACCAGTGCAATGTGCTCTCTACACACCTGAATATAATTTGGTTCTTTCCTGAGAAGAAAACTTACTGCAGCTGATTACTGATTTGCTACTCAAACTGTGTTATTAACTTCACTGGGGGACAAATGTCTTGTTAGTGTGAACTGTAAACATGATAATATAATTTTCATAGATTAAGCTATAATTTTCTGCCTTAGGAGCAATTTTGGGAGCAAAGAATCTAGACTGACACTCATCCTGGAAGTCCAGAAATGCCCTGTGTGACAGGTTGGGCCTTCCATGCCTAGGAAAAGCCACAAACAATCCCTCAGAAGATTTTTATAATTGCACTCCCTTCTTACACAGCTAACTATGCCAGCTGGAAGCTGAATTTCACACCAGTGGTCAGCAGTGTACCTCCTGAAGTGAGAAGATCTGTTTTACAGCCAGGGGCACAATATGACCTATCATTATTAAAGGCCAGAAGAGGATTCAGCTCCCCTTTGTGAGCAGTACCACTGACTATTCTTGTGAATTACTGCTTCTCAGAAAGAGAAGTACAATACTTACAATCTTTTTTAACATCCAAAGTAAATAGCAAGCTCTCATATCCAACAAAAGTTACAACAATATCTTCGTTACGAACAATTCAACCTAGTTTTCATCAAAATAGGGGATAGTAATAATTCCAAAATTCCATAAAGCCTTTAAAATTAACCTATTTTATTGCTATAAGTCCAGACTTTGAAAACCTAAGTTGCATTTTACTGTACAAGTATGCCCTATGGGACTGCTCTTAGCATATATTATCATTTGTAGTGTGTAAATCAATATCCACTGGGCCATAATTTGTAGTCATAAATCAGATTTTACTGTGTAAGTTCAGAGGTGAATTGTATAGGGAAGTTCACACAGATTTGAAAAGTGAAGAACGATGTAAATGTATTAAAATGTAGGGCTCCTTCTTATCACTTTAAAAAAGGTCTGAAATTTGGAAAACTTGCAAAAATCTCTCATTATTTCTGCAGATTGCTCATAATTGGGTCCAAGAATAAAGAGGAAAAAAGTCAAGCCAGTACTTAACTAGAAGTATTAACTACACATTGTTCTCCTGTAAGCACTCAACAGATCTCTTCTTGTTAAAATTATGGCAAATTGGAGCAGCAGTTCCCTTCTGAATCAACCTTCATTTCTCTGTCCTTCCCTGCTGAAGACTGTTACATTTTGAAGGCACAAATGATTATTTATTTATTCCCCTATAAAATGCATGCATGGTCCCAAAAGCCATAATATAACACCCTGCAGTACCCACAAATGCAGTACTCATTATTACAAATTATTAGATCACTTAATCTTCTTTGCCAGTTCCTTCGTCAAAAAAAAAAAAAAAAATCACAGTCCCCCTATACAAGCCTAAAATACAAGACAATAAAACTAATAGTAATAATAATGATATGTTTCCTTGGTCTTTTACGACACAGGAAACAAACGCCTCTCGAGTTGTATTGCAAGGATATACACATTGCAAGTTGATACATGGCTGAGTCAGTCAGCTTGTTACCTTGGGGATGCTCAGCCTGGGTAGGAAATGTTAACTTGCTTTTTAGGATCGGGAAAGAACTATAGGAATGAACAGAAAGCACATTGCTCTTGGTTTGAGTCCTTCCCTTTAGGATGAGAGAACCATCTCTCAGACCTTTGACTCAAAAGGCCTCTCTACCAGCAGCAGGATTTGGTGGGTTTTCTTTTCTTTGCCCAAGTAACTATGCCTTGTCTGGAAATTGAAGCAGGGCAGCATCAGCCTACAGGCCAATGCCAGATCTACTCGGGATGCTCACCTTGTCCTGGCTTTGTATCTTGCTTCATCCTATTCCTCAAACCCAGCTTCTGCTCCAGAGATCTGTTCATTCACCTGACCTTTCCCATTACTCCCTTCTGTGTCAAGGAGTGTTTTCCTTCCATTTCAGTCAATGAGAGTAAGCAGCTGATTACAAAGGGAATTTCTGAGCAAGAAAAGGCAAAAGCAAAGGCATGCTCTGCATTCTGAATCATCCAAACCACAATATAAGTAACATAGTGAAATACAAAATCTCATTCTCCTGAAAGCAATTATGATCAGAGGTGATATAAAAAGAATATGAGTTCTGCATGCCCTCAGAAGTCCCTGCATTGGTGATGAAATTAGATCTTCTAAGATCTCTTGAAGTGAAATCACTTTATTTACTTAGGCTACCAGTCCAGCTGGACCTGAATCAGGTGAGCTCTGAAGAATTAATTTTTCAGCTCTTAACACTGACTGGAAGTAACAAATTCCTGGTAGGTGTAGATACTATACTCCAGCTCTTTTTCTCAGTCTGAATATCTGAGAATTCCTTGTATAAAAGGGATAACTGTTCAAAATAAAAAGAAAGAACATCTTCATATCTCAGAAAACTCTACTGCAATGTATGTGGTGACATTGGAACCTCTGTCAGCTAAAACCCAATTGATTCTTGGGTTGGGTATCTTAAAGAAGAAAAAAGAGATATGAAAATAGGAAAACTGTGCCTTCCTTCATTGGTAAAAAATCTGTGGGGTCCTGAGTTTTTCCCAGTATTAACGCCAAGTATATCTGTATTAAAGAGTCATAAATTTGGCTGTGATTTGTTTTGATTGTAGCAATAAGAATACACACATGCTCAGCACTCCTGGGCAGCAGTAACCATGATTTCATTTTTTATTGTTTCATGATATTACTTATTAGCACACCCGAAGGAGTCTAAGTGAAGACCAGTGTCTAATATGGCAACACAAACCTTCAGGTTCTTACAGTATGGGAAATGTGTGTGGTGTTTCCAAGGCTTCAGACTTAAATTCTGTGAGACAATCCAGTGCAACAGTGACATCTGTGGCATCTTCAACAAACATTCTTAGATAGTGTCTCTAATTAGTCACCTTCTCTTATCTCTATTTTACTTCGAAATGGAGTAAACTTCAGGATTTGAGTACAATCTATTTTCTGTCGCCATTGTGGTGCAAAATCACATGAAAAAATAGGTAAAACAATTTTTGGAAGCAAGAAATGGAAACGTTGGTTCCATTTCAAACTAGTTCATTTCAGACTAATCACACCACAATAAGGTAGGTGGCTTGATCTTCAGGAAAGAGTTGTGATATAGGCTCTCCTTCTACCTCCTTTGTCAGGCAAAGGTAAAAACAGCTCATTAAATAAGCTGAAATTCCTAACCTGTTCTTTCACTCCCACTCTTCCAGTACC